TATTTGCTTCAGAATCGTTGAACATTGAATGAATATGAGAAAATTTTGTAGCTGTATTTCTTTGATAAATAATAATTGAGACTAATATTACATTGATAATCAGTGATATTATGTACCGTTTATGTGTTGATTGTACCATCTAAAACGAAAACTAATCCGAATAATATATTGCATATTTCACAGAGAGAAGCAGTAGGAATACAATGTTAAACACCATTCACTGAGGAATATTAATGAGTAATGGTACTATACTTGGTGGCGCCTATGGGTTGCCGATAAGATTAGTATTAGTTAAACAATTATTTTTACTGTTGCATGTCGCTCAAATGGACACTTTTTAATTTTTTTATTTGTACTGTTGTTTTTTATTTGCGAATATCAATAATTCTAATATATTCAATCATTTACATTTCTTGATATAGTATGATTTTCAAGCCAAATGATTCGTGATATCACTTATTTTAGAGCAAATTTAATGCTCATTCTGATGTAATATGCCACCTTCTAAAAACAATTTGTACTTTATTCGGAAAGTATTTCAATAATAAAAAATGAAGGAGAATAAAGAAATTGGACATATGAATAATGGAATGTTATATTTACATTTTGTTTGTATTCCTCTTACCTTATTTATAAAATTTATTGTTATGACGATGCATCAGCAAAAAAATGAGCTTTTCAAATTTTCTGTCGGTCTTTTTAAACGACGACATGTGCAGTAATTTTGAAAATTTTAAAAATGTTCGAACAAGTAGAAGAAAGAAAAGAAAAACGAAATTTTTATTTATACAATAACAACTAATGTAAGGAGAAAAATCTTCAAAAAGTATAAATAGGAAAATGCAGTACTAAATCCCTGGTATTTATCTTTTTAATTAAATTAGATCAAAATGAGTCAATAACTAAATCATGTGAATCTGTATTTTAGCTTTGTCATTAATAATTTTGCCATTCTTGTTCATATAATACCATAAGATATTTTGAGTAATATTTCCAGTCTCTCTATGTCGCTATATTATGCAATACTTTAGTCGGTCATATTTTATTTTTTCTATCAATTTCTTAGTGTGACTTCGTTTGGTAAACCTGTACGTCGACAAAAATCTCCCTCAATTTTATTATCTTTACTATCGAATATTGTTTCATATACATATTTGCAATATCATCTGCACATTGCACGTCATCTGTTGATTATTATGCACCAATGAAATATATAAATGAATCAGATAGATATTTCTTAACCTCTTTCTTCATCGATTGAAATAATGAATAAAACAAAAAAAGACAAACTTTAAATTATGATTTATTTTATTCATCAATATAATTTAATTTAATTTAAATAACTTAGTCTTAACCAACAAATTTTATATTTAATCTTATCAATTCTTTCTTTACGTTAGTTAACTTGTTTTGTTTTTGCTTACTTACTAGAAATTTAATCTTATTTTTTAGTTGTTTGAAATAGTCACATATCGTCGACAACAAAAATCCAACAATATTGTTTTCAACATTTTCAGTTAACAAAACATGAGTTTGTAATCACAAACGGTCGAATGGCCAAAAAAACAAAATTACCTCCAGAAAGTAATTCATCTAGATTTGTTTTTATAGACTTTTTTTTAAAATATTTTTTTTAGTCATTTGTCTAAGTGATGATGATGATGATGATGTTGATCATAATAGTAAAATTAATACTAAAATTACAACTCCTGTAAAGGAAAAAGAATTATTGACAACTAATAATAGTAATAAATATGAGCCATCAAATTGGATTATTCAAGATAAAGATATCATACATGTATCACCATTACCATCTAAATATTCAGATATTTATAAAAAACCATTTGAAATTCGTTGTTCCAGTGTTCGTTTTGGTATTACAGAATTTAATATTGATTCTGAAATTGTTCTTATGAAAGAAACAGAATTTGAAATGAATCTATCAAGTAAGAAATAAATATTAAATAAAATTATTATATTATTCATATATATATTTAGAGAATTTTATGGATAATCTAAGCATAAAATTAGCTTATTCAGATGTAGTTAAATTTTATTTTTCATTCGAATCTCAAACACCAGCTGCATTTATTCATGTTCGAAATGAATTTGCAGTACTTTTTGACAAATTTATTCCAACATCTGATGAACATGGAAAAGGTTTCAATCCAAATTCAAAAGGTAAATAAAACAATAATTACTGCTCAAAAACAATACATTTCTTATATTTCTATAGATGAAAAACGACGTCATATTATATTTTGTTTAAAAGCATTGACACCAGATATGGAACGAATACATATAGCAACAATTTTCTATTTTCTTAAAACAAAATCTACTAAAATTGTAAAATTTAATTTATCATATGAAAATAATTCTATATTCATTTACTTGTAGGATGTTTTATGTATAAGTGGTACACGAGCTGATGAATTATACAGTTTAGCTCGATATGCTAAAACACCAACAATAGCAACTCCGAAAAAAACACTATTTACTCTTAATACCAATGATTTGTATGTTATTTTTCTTTAACATCACATTTAAGAGATCGCTTGGGGCATGTTTAGGACAATGATAGCTAATTAGACAAATCTATATTTTGTTATTCTTCGTTGAAGAATGCTCAACACAATAGAAAGAGTCAAAGATAATGATGAATGTTATGTTTTAATATTTTTTTTATCTTTAGAACCGCAAAAACAGTTGGTTTAAATAATAATACAATTCGATTTGATCTCTCATCAGATGATTTACATTGTTTAAATGAAGGCGAATTTCTTAATGATAATATCATTGATTTTTATCTTCAGTAAGATTTTTTAAATTAACGTTTTTATCTTTCTAATAATAATTTATTTATTTATTAGATATATCTATTATGAAAAATTATCTGCCGACGATCGTGAACGTACACATTTATTTAATTCATTTTTTTATACACGTTTAACACAAAAAGGTAATCGTGATAATCCAGATATTTCGTAAGTTAATTAAATATCTTACATTGAAAATTCATTCTTTTTTCATATTTAAAGTGCGGCTGAACGACGTTATAATCGTGTTAAACGATGGGTTCGTGATGTAGATTTATTTACTAAAAATTATATTATTGTACCAGTTAATCAAAATACTCATTGGTATATTGTTCTTATACAAAATCTTAATAATGTTCCAACAGAAGGTGATTTAATTAGTGATGATGAAGAAGATACTATTGGTTAGAAAATTCAATTTTTTAAATATTCTAACATTAACTTCTTCTTTTTTTGTTTTTGTTTAGATGATCGATTAAAATCTAAAAAACGACGACGTTCATCAAGAATAATTCGTTCTATTGGAAGTAATAGTGCTAGTAGTAGTCCATCACCAAAACCTTCTATTCAATTAGGTGACGAACTTGATGAAGCTGATGAAGTTACATCTGATAATGAGGTTCCTTTGAAACAGAATATTGAAGCACTTGTTAGTGCAAAAAAAGATCATTCACAAACACCAGCAATAATTATATTTGATTCATTACGTATTGCTTCAAAAAATCGTGTTGCAGCAACATTACGTGAATTTCTTCAAGTTGAATATGATCATAAAAAAGCTTTACCAGTTGGATCATTAGCTCGTAAATTATTTAATATGGATACAATGCCAACAATTGAAGCTGCTGTACCACAACAACGAAATTATTCTGATTGTGGTTTATATATATTGCAATATATTGAAAGTTATTTTACTCATCTTACATCAACATTTACGAATTGGTGTGAAAAAAATTTAAAAGGTTCAACTAAACGAAAAGAAATTTTAACTGTTATTAATCAACATGTTATTAATAAAGAAGTGTGATTAGATGTATCTATTCGAATTTTTTCGCCTCTCTTTCTTTTTTCTCTTTTGTTATACAAGTTGTCCGTGTCACACTTCTTTTTCTATGTTTATTATAATGATGTCTAACATCGAATGTTATTTTCTTTTTTCTTTCATTTCGAAAATAAAACAAAACAAAAATTTTTAGAAGCTAATCATACATGTCTTTTATGACATAAAAATATTAATATTTTAATAAAAAAACAAGTAACACAGTTGTCTGTCACATTGATATAGAAGAAAAGTTTCCTTGTATACGGATATCTTGACCAAATGTAATAATTATTGTCTAAAATTAGAACCAATCAGTCGCTATAGCTACGTCAGTAAAGCTTTATAAAGAAGATTAGTTCGATATAAATCGTTCAGCTATTATTATGTCAATACTTTGCATCGCTCGGTATAATTAGACAGCAATAAATTTTTTACACTTGTTCATTCTATTACATTCGTTGCGATGAGTTACAAAAAAAAATAATAAAATGAAATGTATTTATAGATTTTTTTAAGAGTATTTTGATCAATCTATTGTTAATTCAACGTATATTACATCAATATTATTTTAAACAGTGGTTTGAACTGTATATTTTGTTTGCAAGTCTTCATCTTGTGAGAACATATTATTAACTCACATCTTTACATGTACATATGTACGTTCATAAAATCATGCATAAACTTCAATGTTCAATATTCGATTACGTATTCTTTATTCAATACAATATATTCGTTTTTGAAGTTCTCTTCTATTTTACTTCATACACCTCGAAAACGAGAGGAAAGAGAAAAAAAACGTATATGACCTCTAAACAACATGCGGATGTCGATGAATGATCGTTGAAAAAAGAAGAAAAAAATTATATGTAGTATAAAAAGATGATGTTGGCAGCAGAGGAAAAAAGAACTAAGTGCAGTAACGACAAATGTAAGCTCTATACAACACCCAAAGGTAAAAAAAACTGAACGGAGAAATATGTATTGTATCATATGAGAAAAGGTCATGGTCTTCCGAAGAAAAAAAAGCTGTAGTGAATAGAGAAGGAGAAGAAAAATCGGTGTACACTTTTCTCGACATATAAAGCGACAGAAAAAAAGAGGTACAACGTAAGAGGAGAAGAAGAAGAAAAAATCTTCAATATCTACACTCAATATTATGACTATCGTCTCCTATTCTCAATTGATATTTCTTCTACTAATAATAAACTGTTGTACTATTAGTAAGTATACTTAAATACTTATCATTTCAACATCACTTATGTTCTATTATAAATAGAAAGCAATGCCAATCGTTATCGTCGGCAAATAAATGATGGTACTAATCGTAACACAGGTATTCCACAACCAGTAGTTGTTGGATCAATACCAACAAATCAACAGAATAATCAAAATCATTTAATTGCTGCATCTCAACCACAACAGAATTTAGCTCAAGGCCGTGGTTTTTATAATAGTCCAGCTTTTCAACCACAACCATTTAGTGGTGAAAAACCAGCAGGTTGGTTTGGTACTAGTTATACAAATTGGGTATCCAGTCAAGATAGTGAATTAAATAAAAATAAAATAGCTACAGAAAAGAATGCATTACCAAACATGTAAATTAATCTTTGATTTTAATTTATTTTTCTTTGTTTTTATTTCAAATAAGTCCTCCAACGAATAATGTTCAACCACGACGAGAAGATGGTGGACCATTTTTTCTAGCTAAAATAGCTAAACAGTATGCAGCTAAAGGTGTAAAAGGTTTTGATTTTGGTCAATTTGAAAGTAAGAAAATATTATTACATTAATTTATTAAATTATTCTGTAATAGCTCGTGAAGGACGTGGTTCAGTTTGTTATAATCATGAAAATTTTGATGGATATGTATTTGGTAAGTTTTCATGTCCATTACCAGCAAGTACAGGTATGAATCAACTTGATCAATATTGTTGTGGTATGGCTAATTATCAGTATTGTTGTAATGCACAGTATGTATTTATAGAAAAATAGTACTTTCTATACAGTATATTTATTTTAATAGAGAATTTAGTCAAAATCAACGTGGAGCCTTTGCAGATAATAGATATATTGGTGATCAACGTTTTCCAAAACGATCTACATATTCTACATCAACCAAACGATTACTTGCTGTTATTATACCTATTGCTAGTTTTGTTGTTCTAGCAGGAATTGGTATATTAGTCTTTTTATATTATAAAAAATTCCGAAAAGAACAATATAGAACGAGAAAATTATCTGGAGCTATTCGTTTAGAAGATAATTATTCAAGTAAATATATTGAAGATATATACATAAATTAGAAATCAAATCTTTTTTTTAGTCGTTCCACAAGACCCATCACTTGAAAAGTCGGGATCTATTCCAGATGAACTATAATAAACGAATCATTATTCAATTCACTATGTACATATTATACAAATTTCTTTTTATCTAGCTAGTCTTACCATATTTACTATTCTTGAACAGTTCTTTTTGTTCCTAAATAAGAATCTCGTTTTATCAATAGATAGAATTTTAAAATATTGAATACTATCATCTTTATTTATATGTGTGTATTGATAATATTTTATCTATACTATTTCTAAATTTATACTACAATATTATTAATATAAAAAAAAACGAAATTTTAATTAATTTTTAATTCCTTCTTTCAATGCTTTAAAATGTAATTGACGATCTTTTTCTGCTTTAGCAAATATTGCTCGATTTTCTTGTGCTCGTCTTGTTAAATAAGGTAAAAGACGATCTATGGGTCCATAGGGTGCCCATTTATAAACATCACAACCAACACTAGCTAACGGAAATGCAAGATAATCACACATTCCTAATAAAGTTCCAAAAGAAACAAGACCATCATTATGTTTAATATTCATTGATTTCATACTAAAAAAATAAACTAATAAAAAATTGAATTTTTAATATTAGATTAAAAATATATACGTTTTAAGTGCGAATTGAACTGTATTTTCATTATGACTGGCAACAAATACATGAACTTTATTATTATTATTTTTTGCATATTCAAGTGTTTCAATAAATGCACGATGATAAGATTCAGTAGTAGCTGCAAAATTCGGATGAATTGGATCAACAGTATGTAATTTCGAAGCTCGTTTTCTCTCCTAAAAATAAACACATAAGATAAGAAAAGATCAGATTAGAATAGAAATAAACCATCTAAATACCTGATCCATATAAGCACCGCGCACAAGTTTATATCCAATATTAAAACCATGTTTTTTTGCATGTATTAAATCCTTTCGTAATGTATCAAGTGTAGTCTAAAAATAAACAAAGGAGAAAAGAAATTCTAAAGTTATTTTATTTACTTTTCGATAACATTGATAAGTATTATAAACAATGAAACGATCACGATTATAATGTTCTTGCAATTCAAGTACCAACTTATGAATAGCTGTTTGAAAATATGATTGTTCAGCATCGATAAAAATTCGTCCGTTATGGTTTTTAACTTCCTAAATATTCCAAAGTTTTATACTTGTTAATTAACTGTAATAAATATATATATATATATATATACTTGAATAATACGATTAATTCGCTCCAGGAAATGTTCTACTTCAAGTAATTCTTCTTTATTTATCTAGACAAGTAAAGATATTGTTTGTATAGTGAAATAACGACAATTAAATATTATTTACGATAGATGCTTTTGAAGCTAATTCAAAAATCGAAAGTGTATTAGATGATTCTTGTTCTTCTATAATTTGATTTAATTTTTGAAGGATATCAGGTGAAACCAATGACGTTATTTTAGTAGCTGTCATCTCCGATGGACTATATAATTCCGCTGCTGTTTGAGTATTTTTTAGAGCTCTTAACATATTTTCATCATATATTTCTTCATTTGTTTTCTGTCTACAATATATCAAAGGAAAACTACATAAATTTTATATTCAAAATAGTTAACTGTTTGCTGTTTGCTAGATCTGATTCCATACAATAATCAAGTATTAATTTAATACCATGTTTATGTAATCTTTCTGCAACTTGTTTCAATTCATGTTTATCAGTACCTGCAGCAAAATGTCCATAAAGTGTTGAACGCATAATATATCCAAATAATCGTTGACCAAGAATAGTATTTGAAATAGCTAATAACTAAAAATTTTCTTATAAATACATACAGTTTTTTTATATTTTAATATTAACTTACTTGAGACAGATGATTGACAAGCGATTTATAGGAACATAGTTTGAAAACAAGCCAACCACGAAATAATTCAGACTTTGATTTATATCCATAAGCAGTAGAAATCGAATCAAATCGAATATTTTCATAATTCGTTGTAGTATTTGATACAGATGAACGAATATATTGTTGTACTATTTGCACTCGATGTAATTTACATTGTCTGATCATTTTCGATAACATATTTGTGTATAAAACGTCGTCTTATGATTTAGATACAATTTTAAATCTCTTTCATTTTTTCTTCTTCTTCTTTTCGTTCTTCATAATAACAAACATGATTTTATCACTGATATATGTATCGAGATAAACAAAACAAGCCTATTGAATTTCATCACCGTATATATTTTGAATTTACGGTAAGGTAGATTTATATTTATAGTTCATGAATTCTGTTAAGCAGAATTTGTTGCATCAAGGTTATATAAAATACAAGAAAGAAAAACTGAATAAAAAAAAAAGTAAGTTAATTTTTGGAATTAACCATTCGATCCTTAAGTGCTTTGAGATGAAAACGTCGATCCTTATCAGCTTTGAGAAAAATCGATCGATTCTCTTGAGCACGTCGAAATAGATATGGTACTAAAGCTTCAATGGGTCCATATGGTAAATATTTATATGTTTTATAACCAGAATTTGCTAGAGCAAAAGCAACATAATCACTCATTCCATGTAATGATGCAAATGAAATAATTGATGAACCACGACGAATATCATAATCTTTCATTCTAAATTTTAAAAACATATACATAGAGAGAGATAATGCGTAAAATTGTATATTACTTTTGAATACCATATCGAATTGTATCTTCATTATGTGAAGCAACCATAATTCTAATTTGATTAGGTGACCGTTTAACAGTACTTTTTAATACTTCATCAAGACATGTATGATACATTTGTGATGTTGTATCAAAATCAGGATTTATTGGATCATCATATCCATGCTCTTGAGCTAAACGACGTTCTTGTTCCATATATGCACCACGTACAAGTTTAGCTGCAAATATATAATTATATTTTTCAGCGAGAGCTAAATCATGTTTTAAACATTCCAATGTTTCCTATTGATATTATTATAAATATAGAATAGAAAATTCAATAATGATTACTTACTTTCAAATAACATTGATAAGTTCCATAAATAAATGGTACATTATATTTATTATAATATCGTTGTAATTCAGTTGCAAGATAATTAATTGCTGTTTGGAAATATGTTTGTTCAGCATCAACCATTATAGATATTTTATATTCAACACATGCCTAGAAATATAATATATCTAATTTGATTACTGATTATATATATTTACTTGAGCTATTTTATTTAATCGTATAAGAAGCTTATAAATATCCATTAAATCATTCGGTGTTAGTACAACATTTGAGGATGTTTCCTTCTATTAAAATAAAATAAATATTCTTTCATATTATTTTTTGAATGAAATTACTTGATCTTTTTGAAAATATGAATGAATAGATTGTTGAAAACTTGTAATTATTTCTTCATTTGATTTATCTTGATTAATTAATTCAAATAATGGTGGTAATATTAAACGATCTCCCAAAGATTTTAATACTGTATTTAATTTTTTCAATACACTTGGATGAATTAAAGCAGTTACTTTAACTGCTATTAAATTATTTGCACCACAAATATCATGTGATGTTTTAATACATTCAATAAATTTTGTTGTATTATGATCAAGTAAACGATCAGCATCTGATCTAAAAATATTTTGATATAGAAAAGAAGAAAAACTATATCTAAATTCTTACGAAGCTGATGAATTCGTATCATCACTTTCCACACTGTAATCTAAAATAGGTCTAACATTATATTTTTGTAATTTTTCAATTACTGGTATAATTTCTTGTGGACTTTCACCACCAACAAAATGACCAAATGCCGTTAGTTTTAATACTTTTTGAAATAATTTTTCACCAAGAATACGACGACCCAAACGAGCAATCTAAATTTTATTTTCTATATTTAAAATCTACGATACATTTATTTTTGAGAAAAAAAAGTAATACTTTATCTTGATTATTAACAAGTAAATTAATTGAAAATAATCGATAAACAAGATAACCACGTAAAAGTTCAAGACTATGTCGATAACGATATGCAATTTGATATTGATTAAATTTTGTATCAAGTAATGGATATTCTGGACGTGATTCTTGTTTTTTATTTTCATCTATTATTGGAACGGAAGAAGTCGATGCATAATAAACTGTTTTTGGAAATAATTTTATATTTTGACATAGACAAAGTCTTGTCGTTGACGGACAGATATGTCTAATCTGGAATATTCATGTTTATTTTATGCGAAAATAAAAAAGGTAAGTCAACTTACTGTCAACATAGAAACTGCTTTTTAATTGCGAATATATTAATGTTGTTTTTTTTCAAAAATAAATGTACATGGAAGAAAAAGAAAAAAACAAAATTTTTTTTTCTTTTTGTAAATATTCAATGGCGTGACGTGAGCAAGTAGCTCATACTCTTCTGAAGACCATCAGTTTCTTTTATGCGTCGATTGCAAATGGAAAGAACAGGAAAAATCGGCTATTCCGTCTTTTATAAAAGATGAAAAAACATATTTTTTCTTCCTTAACAACATCACAATATAACTCGCGACTCGGAACAGAACAGAAGGAAAACATAGCAAAATTGCTATATTGTGGTTGACTTCAATCAACCATCGATACTTCTCGAAGGAAATTGATGTGAAAACTAACATGTTATTTCTTATAGTAATAATTTTGTTTTTTTGCAAAAATAATCAGTTCTACATCGAATCAATCACGTGAAAAAACACACCTTAAAATTGTTTTCGATCGTTACAACAATAGAAAAACACAAAAACATTGAAAAGAAAATCTTTTTCTTCTTCAACAAAATAATAGCACATCGGCAGTACACAATAGTAAATCACTTTCAGACTATTTAATTATATCCTCTATAGGATTTCCTTTGAATTTTATTACATTCTAGCTATTAACACACCCACTCATTGGTATTAGTTATATTGATCAATGAACTAAAAATATATTATTAAAATAAAAAAAAGAAAAAGATTTACAAACTATGTATAGAAAATAGTACTATTATATTTTTCATTATAATATTGTAAAAATAAACAAGATTTCAAAGATGGCGCGTACTAGTTCTATAAATAAAAATAACATACAAATCAATAATATCATTTGAAATGGTTTTATTCAAATATATAATTGCATATGATTTCTAAATAAAAATTATCAACATGTTAAATCGAAGTTATTGTAGTCCAAATAAATTATCACAGAATTATCAATCGAATGATTCTGCTAATGAATACAATCGTTGTAAACTACCAGCTATTAATAATGGAACAATACCAATAGCTAATATGAATTCAACATTTACTAAATCACCACTAACAGATCAATATGCAACTCCAATGAAAGAAAACAATTCAACTTTTAACAATAGTAATTGTAATACTGAAAATATAAATAATCGATCATCACAAGTTTTTTATACACCATCTGGACCAGCGGTCTCTAATGCTTGTACACCTTCATATAACAATGCTAAAATAAATTGTTCACCACGTAGTATTGCTCCTTCTCAAACATTTTCTTCATCACGTTTACCTTCGAAAATGTGCAATAATAAACAGCAAATACCAATGAATCGAGCTTGGAATTCGAATAAGATGAATACAACAACTATTGATACAAATAAAAATTGTTTTCAACGACCAATGACATCAGGTCCGAATGGTTTAAATTGTTCTTCATCGAATGGGCAAAAAACGATTGTACGTGATCGAAATTTAGCTACTGAAATTCTTCAAAAAGCAGGTATTACATCGAATTCAACGCCAAATGATTGTCTGGAAGTAATTACGGATACACCTGTGACAATGAATGATAATGTTAATTGTGATCCAAATCCATTATGCATGAAAAAAACAGCTGATTGTCAAGTAATATTAATTCTAAAAATTGCAAAAATAATTCTTTTTTAAAGGAATGTTATGAGCAATCAATTGTTGTTCGACATTTACAACCGTAATTATTTCTTTTCTATTCTATTTATCGTAAGAATTTGTCTATATCTATATATGTAGACCAAAACCACCTGTACCACCACCAATTATTATTCGGTTTGAATTATATTGAAACTGTATATATACAAATACATACATACATCTTAATTTCATTTAGTGAACGTTGTGCTCCACAACCACCACCGCAACCACCAATTGTTATTCGACAAACTCCACCTCGACCTTTAACACCACCACCATTAATTATTCGTGAATGTCCACCGCCAATGCCTGATAGCCAAGAACCAACAATAATCGAACGTGAAGTTCCACCACCACCTCCACCACCTCGACAAGTTATTGTCGAACGATTACCTACACCACCACCGAAACCACGTCCGATTATTTTTGAAAAATGGCTTCCATATGAAGAACCAGAAGATCGACCATGTATTGTTGAAAAAGCTTGTGTTAATGAAATGCCTCCACCAAAAAATGTTATTATTCAATATGAAGCACTTGAACCAAGAATTCAACCACAATGTATCAATGAAGGTATATCTTATGTTGATCCAAAACAATTCATTAATGATAGACCAAATGGAAATGCTGAAATTTGTTATGTTGATCAACTTAATAATTTAGTTTGTATTCTCTTTTCTTTCTCAATTATAATGAAATCTATGATTGCAGCCTGATCATATCAAATGTCAACTTAGTCCACAAACACTTGCTGCTATTGGTATTCAAAATAATAATAATAATCCATGCATTGTTCGTACAAATCCTAGTACTTTCTATCAACAAAATGGTCGTGTTCCATGTAATACAATACCATCGATGCCACCTAAACAATCAATGATAACAAATGGTTGTCAGTCTACTAAACCATCGTATTCTCAACTATGTAATCCAAACATATGTCATCAACAACAATCTGATAATCGTGCTCTATCAACTTCAGGTGCTGGTCTATCGCAATGTTACAATAAATATAATACAAAAATGTTAACACGACCAGGCAATCAAGCTTTAACTAATTTAACTCGAGCACATTATAATCCGGTATGTTAGAAATAATATTTTTTAAAGTTTAATTTGTTTTCTTTAGTGGGCAACAACATACCAAGTTTCATATACAAATAAGGCACGAGGAATGTGCCGTGCACGTTAACTCATATTTTAATTGCTAAAACTCATGTGTATATAATATAAAATAAATAAATAAATAAATAGATTAACCAACTTTCAAATACTGTTACATTTAAGAAAACTATTATAAAACTAAATAAATTCACATTTGAATATATTCGATTATTGACCATAGATCTTTCATATATTTTAAAATGATAAAGTGTGTAGCACTGTTACTAAAGAAAAAAAGGGCATCGTTTTGTTCATTTTTTAATAATTATTAAATCAGTCTTTTGATGAAACGAAAGGGTGTCAGTATCAGCTGAAACAATAAATTAGTATACAGAATTGACTGTGAAAAAGAATTTATGTCATCTGTCATGAACTTCTAATGTTTCAACAGGGCATCATGACTCGATTACTCAGTAAATATGAAGCAAAAGAGAGTGAGAGAGACAGACAAGTCCTACTTGAATGAATCATCTGTCATCATAACTAAATAGATCGAAGCCATTCAAAGAAAAACAATTTTGAAAATCTCATCTTTTGATTGTTGTATACTGACGACAATATTGCGCCAAATATTTGTAATGATATAAAAAGATAAAGATGAATAAGACTAATATAATGGACAAAATGTTAAAAATCTCTTAAAATTTTAGCTATTGAGAAAACATAGCAACCGCTTGTGTTTGTTTATTTAATGATCAATTAGATCAAAAACTAATACTTCATCGAGACCTTAGTTCTGACTATATACAACACTCAATGTATGTCTCTCATTCTCTTTCTTGTCAACAAAACAAATTAAAGTATGAAGTGTGCTAAAAATTTTTCTACGCACTTTGAGTGCAGACATTATGCAAATATTCATACTTAAAGGTATCTAAAATGGCATCAAGGCATTGAAATGCTCATACAAGCACTTTTTTCCTATTTCAACAGTTAAATTACTTTTTCTAAATGCTTCTCATAGATAGTATATGTTATGAAACACAAAAAAAAACTTGTCACGATAGATGATCGATTATATTTAACATATGAACATAATTTTCTTATTCAAGATTGAATATTATTTCATGATTTATATGATTAATGACATACTAAAAGTATTTAAACAAACTTTTTTTCATTGCATAGATTTATATAAATAGAATGAACTCTATCAAGTAAGATATAATTAATCAGCACAAGTTATTTTTAAAATGTCAATCGTGATTAAGCATAGCATTTAAGTTTATCATTTTCAATTCATTGATCATTGTTAAGAATCGTTTTATTCTATTTATAGTTTTCATAAGATGAGAAAATAAATATATATATAGAAGTCGATAAATTACACTTAAAACTTGGCAAAAAAATAATATTAACTTTTTCTCTATGTTTTTTTTTATAAAGTAAAGATTCTGAACAACTCTTATTATTGCTCACTAGCGACCTCTGAATGTGCACTTATGCATTTTAAAATGGCTATTTGATGATCAATATACTAAAATTTAATGTAAATATTTATCTTTTTGTGAACTATTTTCGAAAGATTAACTTTATATGAAAATAAAATATCTTTTTATATTATTAAAACACCAAATTGGAGTCTCTCTATTGTCTAGTAGACATTGATAATGGTAACATTTATTGTGTTATTGATGTTTCTTTCAGACACATTATTACTCTTTTGATTATTCTATTTTATTTTTGTCAATATATTATTTTAAAAAGACGAATCTCCAAATAAATATCGATCCTTCTTATTTACAAATCATCGACAATCATTTATTATAATTCGAATCTCAAATTATTCTGTACAATCTATAATACGAGCTTCATTATATAACGAAGCTCACATATTTTCAAATTAGGTGAGTTTTATTGTTTTCTTTCAGTATTTATTTCAGTAATAGTCATTCTTAAGATTCCTTTTTCATCATCAAAACTATTAATTTACCTAGATCCATAGAAATAATATTAGGATTTCGTTAATTTATTAGAATATGTCGATTATAAACAGAAAATGTTATGATAATCTCACTATTACCTCGTCGCTCGTGCTCTCTCTCTCTATAGATTGGCATGTACATCATAAAAATTGATGCTTTTACAAACTATTATAAAATTTTCAAACAGTAATCTGATTTTAATTGCGACAATTTTGATGAAATTAAGTTTACTGATATCAATTATCATATTATCAATACATATATATCGTTATATTTATTTAAATTCGTTTGAGTAACGTTTTTTTTTCTTGATCTTTGTAATTTTATTAGATTTATCATTTTTATTTGATGACATAGTGTTATGAAAACAAGAATAATTTCTATGATAAATATTGTTTAACTATGATATTCGAGAAAATGAATTGATTCCATCTGTTTGATATATGTATACATATCTTTGATATGAAAATAATTTGTAAAAATGATGTTTGAACGACATCACATCTGTCATTATCCCACACAAATCTCTGCTTGCTAGCTTGTTTCTCTTATCAACAAGCGACATATATATTCTTAACTTTCTTATTCTTGTTCTTCTTCTCCTTTTTTTTCCTTGTTCTTTCTTCTTGTTCACTCGTTAATTCATCTTCGAAATGAGGAGGGAACTGCGTGTCAAACCCGTCACTCGCGGCATCATCGTTGTCGGGTATATGCCTGTCTTCGATAAAAAAAAAAAAAGAAAACCGACTAAATAGCAAGAGAAAAGACGGCTGAGAGTGAAGAGTAGTAGAGTGCTGGATAGAGAGAAAGAGATAGAAATGCTAGGGGATTATTTTCTTCACCTTCATTTATAGTGAGAGGATATTTGCTTTCTCTCTTTTATCTTTTTAGTTCAATCGAAACATTAAAAAAATTGCGATGTAAACATCTTTGATCTTCTTCTTCTGCTTCTTTTTTTTTCATCAGAATAATGATAAATATTGCATTTAAATTCGATCTGTTTTACATCAAGAATCTTATTCCATCTTTCATTAGATAATAATATTTGTTATTGATAGGACTAACAATAACGATGACGGACATTGGTCTTTTTTTTGTCTATTCATCATTTGTTAGTGATGCCTGTTATCAAGTGGATTCCTTCCTTTCTGTTGGTTGTTTCTTTTTTTAGTAGTAATAGTGTTAACTGTGGCAGCGAACAGACGCGACTGCAAAAGAAGGAGAGAAAGATAAGGAACGACGCCATACTGATGTATGTCTATATGTGTGTGCGTGTGTTTTTTAACGCACATACAAGCGGCTTCTTTCTCCTTCTCTTTTCCTGCTTTCTCTATGGCGTTCGTTACTCGTCGTCGTCGTCGCACCAAGTAATCATTACTTCCCGTTCTCTCGACTAACGTCGGGTTGAGCTCTCTCACTGGTATCCAACAATAGTTTCCATCATTGCTCTTGTTCTCTCTTCCTCATTCTGCTCTTCTTTTCCTTCTTCCTTTTTTTTTCAAAAAAAAACGACTAGTTTGCATTACTAGAATTATGATTATAGAAAAGCGAATAGTGGCGGTAGCGACAACGAAGCCGGTCGTTGTCGATAGTATGGTAGTAAAGAAGGAACGCAAAGAAAATTATCATCAACAATAGAGCTGTTCATCAGCATCGCATCATCATTGCAGGCTGACTGGTTCGGGCCCGGCTTCGATGTGCAATCGTGTTCTTCTTCTTTTTTTTTCTTCTTTTCTTCTGTTTCTTGTCGCTCGGAAAAGAAAGAAGATCTTCCATCTATATACTTTACATACTGCCATCGCTCTTTTTCTTCTTCTTCGTTTTTTTCCTCACCCTATTGCTGCCGCATACACGCAAACTTTTTCCTCTCGGTTGCCGCTGCTAGTCGGCCAAGCTTTTCTCTTCGTTGTTTCGCCCGCCCCGTCCGCTCGCTCGCTCGCCCGAGCAGCAACAGCAAGTAGTAACGTCGTCAATACATCGTCGTTTTTTTTTGCTTCTCGGTTTTTTTTTTGTTGAAAAACTGAAACAAACCAGTAGTCGTGTGTGTATGTGTGTTTGTTATTTTGCCACATCTTAAAAGTGTATGCATAAATGATAGAATTTCAGACAAAATCATATTTTCTCTACAATGTATGCCCGTAATAAACGGAAAATAATCCTTCAGAAACAATACGACAATCATCATTATCATCATTATTATCATCATTTAAATTACTGCATCAATGATCGCGTCTGTTGTTCATTATTGTTATCTTCTTGATGGTCATTCATCATTCTTCTAGCTTCTATCATACAATAAAACAGATCAAGTAAGACAAATATAGAAATCAAAATAAATAATAAACAATAGAACAATAAAAACTACGAAAATGTTTTATATTTTTTATTTTTATTTTTGATGCTCGCTTATGCGCGCTCGTATATATAGATATATGTGTGTGTGTGTGTGTGTGTGTGTATGTGTGAGTGTATATATGGTGTTATGGTCTGTGCAACAGAGATTGGCAAATCTTCTTTATTGTGTGTGTATGCGTGTCGTCATTGTCGTGTAAGAATAACATGTTGAGGAAGAAAAGAAATCGCGCGAGTGCGTCACCCGTTTCAAGCAGAGAATAACACACACGCACGTACACTACCATCTAACACTCTACTGCCGCCATCGATGATGATGGTGGCGGTGGCAATGGCAGAAAGCAATAGTAGATAGTACACACACATTGACTGTCACACAGTCAGCATCATCATTGTCGTCGCGCAAGACGAGACATGAGAGAGAGAGAGATGGAAAGAGAGAGAGAACGAGCAAGGACTGTCGTGACGCACGCACGACTAACATCATTGCCAATAAGGAAACAACAAGAGGTTTTCTCGACTCGTTGCATTTTCTAGCGATTTTTATCGACGAAGATTTTTTTGTTTGATTCTATTAAATACTGCAGAAACGTGTTTTTTTTTCTCTTTTAATATAATACCTGTTTCTCACGCACATCAAACGATTAGATTATTGAGCAAAAATATTTTTTTTTCTTCTTGATTACATTACATTTGAGAAGAACCAGAAGCTTCCTGGTGAAATAAGAGTAGGAACATATTTCTAAATATCAACATTGAAATTTGATAAAATCAGTAAATCCCACGAAAGAAATTGATAGAGATGTTCACTTTTTTTTCGTACTCTTTTAACATATTTATATCAATTAAAATCATTATCATAATTATTATCCTACTTAAAACCATCTAATTTTTTGATGAAAAACAAATTATTCGAAGATTAAAAACGATCATTAGAGAGAGATAAACTCTTTTTTTTTTCTATCTCAAATTAGAATGATCTAAATGATAAAATTCATCATATTTGAATTAATAATAGTGATTCCTATTAATTATTTCAGTTGAAATCCTTTTTTTTAAGAAAAAAAAAATAGACAAATATAATTAAGAATTTATTTATTTCAATGATAGACATCTATTATAATATCTATTTTATATTTTATAGGTTTGTTCAACAGTCACAATTCTCAAATTAAATCAATTTTTCTCCTTATTTTCCCATTGTCTTATCCCTTATCTTTTTATTAATAATAAATATTAAATCAGAATGAGTGACATTGAAAGTCTACGTCAAGAAGCCGAGTCGCTCAAAAATCAAATACGTGTATGTATCTATTTATATTAGAATTATTTTTAGTTTAATAATTCTTTCTTATTTTGTTATGTAAAGGATGCTCGAAAGGCAGCTTGTGATGCTACTCTATTACAAGTAGCACAAAATGTCGATCAGATTGGTCGTATCCAAATGCGTACAAGACGAACACTTCGTGGTCATCTTGCTAAAATTTATGCCATGCACTGGGGTTCCGATTCAAGGTTTGTACTTTTATTGAATATATTATATATATATATGTATTTTTTTTCTCTCTTGTTTAGTTCATCTTCTAGAAATTTAGTATCAGCTTCTCAAGATGGAAAACTCATTGTATGGGATTCATATACCACGAACAAGGTATAGAATTAAAATAAAACAAGAAGATGAATTATTTCTATCTATATCTATATATTAGGTTCACGCTATCCCACTTCGTTCATCATGGGTAATGACATGCGCCTATGCACCATCCGGCAATTTTGTAGCTTGTGGTGGTCTTGACAATATTTGTTCAATTTATTCATTAAAAACACGTGAAGGCAATGTACGTGTCAGTCGAGAATTACCTGGCCATACCGGATATTTATCATGCTGTCGTTTTCTTGATGATTCTCAAATTGTGACAAGTTCAGGAGATATGACCTGGTGCGTACACTAAATGATTATTATTTTTCTCATCTTTTTCTTTCTTTTTCTTCTTCTTTTAGTGCTCTGTGGGATATTGAAACTGGACAACAAACAACTAGTTTTCAAGGACACACTGGTGATGTAATGTCACTTTCATTATCACCCGACATGAAAACATTTGTTTCGGGTGCATGCGATGCTTCGGCCAAGGTAATTAGAATGATCATTTCATTTGATTATCATCTTTATTGTTTTTTCTTCTTTCATTCATTAGCTTTGGGATATACGAGAAGGCATGTGTAAACAAACATTTCCCGGCCATGAGTCGGATATCAATGCTGTTACAGTATGTTTATCGTTCATTCGATAGATAAACAATTTTTATTCTAACTGCATAAGAAAAAAATATACTAATTCTGTTTTTTTTTCTTATTCTTTATAGTTCTTTCCAAATGGATCGGCATTTGCTACGGGATCTGATGATGCAACTTGTCGCCTATTCGATATTCGTGCTGATCAAGAAGTAGGAATGTATTCTCATGACAATATTATTTGTGGTATAACATCGGTTGCCTTCTCCAAATCGGGTCGTCTTCTATTGGCGGGTTACGATGATTTCAATTGCAATGTTTGGGATACACTTCGTCTTGAACGTGCTGGTTAGTATTTTTTTTATATTAAAAAATTATTATAAAATAAATAATCTTTGTCTTTTTCTTTTTAAAATAGGTGTATTAGCTGGCCACGATAATCGTGTCAGTTGTCTTGGTGTAACCGAAGATGGAATGGCCGTAGCGACTGGCTCTTGGGATAGTTTCTTGAGGATTTGGAATTAGCCTCAATTACTTTTTATCTTTCTCACAAAAGATCTGCTTTGCCACATCGACGACGACAATAAGAGCCAGCCTTCTTACCTATTCTACCTCAAGCAATACAAAAAACTCTATCTTTTTTTTTCTTTTTTTCTTTCTCTCTTTCTCTATCTCTCTAGGCTGGTGGACATATTTTTTTGTACGTTTGGTATTGCCAATTTTGCTTGTTGTCCTTTCTTTTTTTTTTCTTTTTTTTCTTGTCTTTGTTGTACTTATGTTGTTGTTCTTTTCTTTACAGTGGTGAAACACGTCTGTCAAACACACACGCGTACATACATACATATACAGACTTTCTATCTCTCTTTCTCGTTCTCTTCAATTCGATACGGGTTTTTCTTGCCTGCATTCTCTTTTCTTTTTTTTGTAAGCTGCTTTTTTGCTTGTCACCTCTTATCGTCCTTTCCATAATTGTCAGTAGGCATATATATGTATGAATGTGAATGCGTGTGTGTATGTTTCTTCTAATTGTCGTATCGTTATGGATCGGGATCGTGTGAACATAGTTCTCACACCAGTCTTCTCGTCCTACTTCTATCACTTCTGTTGTTGTGTGTGCGTGTGTGTCTTCTCAGAGCGAACGCAGTTGTTCTAGTCGTTTTAATCAGCGCGTGTATCAATGTGTTTTTTTTCTCTCTCTCTCTCTCTCTTTTTCTTTCTTCTTGTCTCACTGCTCTATGCTCTGCTGCTAAGTTTTTTTGTCTTTTTTTCTTGCTGCTTGATCTGTTTGTGTGTGTGTGTGTGTGCGTGTTTCGCAGAATGAAGACCAACACAATGTATTTGATGTTTATCTTTTTTTTCTCGTTTGGTTCGCTCTTACTTCTTTTTTTCTCTCATTATATACTTACTTATTTAAAATACACACTCAACAGTCTATACAAACAAAAGAAACATAGAAATAATTCTATCAGTTCTCAGTTTTTTCTTGTTTTTATAGCTGGACATTTAAAAAAAAATATTTTGTCATTTAATTGAAATTCATATATATATTTATTCATTTGATACTAAACTTAATAGCAGAACGAGTAGATTATTTTTAGAAAGAAGATGATTAAAACAAAATTTTCTCATATACGATAAAAGATTTATCGTCTGAAAATGAAAATACAAGAAAAAAAAACATTATTGCGCCATTTAGTTTATTAGTATGCAGTACATGTGCAAGAAGACATTCTGTTCTTTTTCTTTATCAGTGTCTGTCTGTCTTTCTATTTTCACTTTAGACCAGGACTATCATAGCGATGAGTCAGAATGGTACGACACCTACTACAGATGAAGTATGACTTTGTTTAATATTGGATCAATTTCTTTTTTTTCATTAATTTCTTTTTTTGTTCAATTTAGAATCGTGTACCGACCACTATTCCTCAATCGTTATACGTCCCGATGATGCCAATGTTTTTTCCTTATGGTAATGCCAATGTACCTGCACAACAATTTTTTGCCCCAACTATTTACCCAAATGTTTCAGCGTATCCATCAAACGGTAATCATCGTCATGGGAATTTTGGAGTTGGTTATAATGCATACTATACACAATTTTATCCTACTCAAAATAATATTTTACCTCAAGCAACACATGTCACTAATCCATCAGTATTAATTTCACAACGTCCATTAATGCCACATTCACTACCAGCAATACAGCAGCAACAACAACAACAACATTCATTAACAACATATTCAACTAAAGGAAATGATAATGAACGTAATATGAATTTAAATATTCGGGAATGTCAATCACCCGTAATAAATGAAACAAAAACAGCACAAATTATTGATCTGAATGATAATAATAATAATAATACGTCTGCAAGGGTACGTCAAAATTCATCATCAACATCTTCACTTATGTCTCATTCAGGTAAAAAAACATTTTTGAGATAAGGAATTTTTTTTATTATTTTAAATATCTATTTAAGAATTAGATCAAAATATTCGTCCTCATCTTCCACCAACTTCGGCTTCGTCTTCTTCTTTAGCTCAAGAAATTGATTCAGATAATAATTCAACAGATGATTTTTTAACTTTTATCGAACAGAAAACTAAAACAACGACAACAGCAGCAGCAACAAAAATGCCAGAATTAAATCCATTTGCTAATGAATTTTCATTTGCTTCTAATAAAACTCTTACGAACGATTCATCAATCACAACAAATGGTATTGATAATCATACATCTAATGAAAATCATTCATCATATAGATTACTATTTGATAATCTAATCGAAAAAAGTCTGGAATCTATTGAAGTATTCAAACAATCTACAAAGTATTATTCTTATTCTCAACAAACTAATAACAAAAAATATTTTCATTTTTATATATAAATAGAAAAGTTTCTGTCAATGATATGTCTACACAATGTAATCCCACCAATGATTGTATTCATCGTTCAACACAAACAACTGAACATATCAATAATTCTGATCTTATTAAAGATTATAGTTTACGTACAGTATGTTGTTTTTTTTCTAAAAGAAAAATAAAACAATATTTTTCTTAGATAAAATTAATGGATAAATTAAGTGAAAATTTTCGAACTATCTATCAAAATGAATTACATAATGAATATAAAACTATGGCTCAAACATGTGATGAATTACGTCATTTAATTTTATTTATTCATCGTATTACATTATCTTTATCAGATGATGATCAACAACAAAAAATATCATCAATTGATTTAAGCAATCCATTTAGTAATATTGTACAAGATCTTGCAAATGATACAACAAATATAAATAAATATCAAATATCATCACAAATTACACATAGTGCTGGACGTGGTACACGTCGTTTAATGTCATTAACAAGTAATTCACCAGTATCATCATTTTCTTGTCGACAAATTGAACCTATAGCAATAGTTAAATCAAATGTATGATTATTATTTTCTAGATTTTAATATTATAGATTATTATTTCTTTTTTTTTTTAGTTATGTTTAATTTGTCAAAAACCACTAGATGATACTGATGATGATGTTATGCATTCACTAGTATGTTAACATATATATATATATGTTTAAAAAACTAAAGTATTGATATTTATTTTAGTGTCGATCATTATCATCTTATCCAAATGTTTCCACTAACACATAAATTAGAACATTTATATTCTTGTACTTTCTTATTATTTTTTTTGTCTTGGTCGGATAACATTAATTACAGATGTCTTTCTCTTCTTTATTATTTGTTGTACACACATACCTGCATGTGTGAATATATGGTGATATTATGTTCTTTTTTTTTTCATTGAGTGTGTGTATTGTTAATCTGGATTTCGGCTGTTTTTTTTTCTACATGAAAGGAGAAAAAAGAGAGCAATGAAAATCTTGTATTTATTTGAAAACAAAAAGATTAGCAGGTGAACAATATGTTATTTTGTATAACAATTGTTTTTTTTCTATATTTGTGTAATAGTTCAATGATAAAATTTGAAGAAAAAAAAAAGTATTTTTATATGGTTAGTTTAATTTCAATTATTACAATTAATATTTTCTTTAGTTTTTCAAGTCCGTTTATTATACATTGATCGAAATTCAATGAGACGGAAATAATTATTGACTTTGTTCATTCTCAATTTATTTATTCCGGCACTTTCCGAATTTATCTTAGATCAGATATTTTAATGAACTATTGTATAAAGAATGCAAAGTTATAGGAAAAGGATGTTCTGACTGTTTTTCTAAGATAAAGATAAATTAAGTGTTCGATTGTTTAAGATTTATGAGTAGCTACTGTTCTTAAAAAAAAACTTGTGCAATCAATTAATTAAGCTTTGATTTGATCCGTTTATTCAACCTTCGATAGATGGCGGAAGATTTCAAAATCTTGATTGAACTAAATACGACCTCTGGAGATCTAAATAAGGCATTTTTGTTCAAGAAACAATTGTCAAGAAACAGATGTTATTATTGATAATAATAATATAATAATAATAAAATTAAAGACATACAGTTAACCGTATAGTTAAGAGTAGAAAAACGAAGGCAACATTATTAACTTCTCAGCAGAGGTATTACTAATCTAATGGCGACATATTGTACTGTATATTGCGAAAAATATTATTATCGGATCAGAAGAAACTGTTTCATTTAATTGACTCTCATGTTGACATTCATACAAACAACATGGATTTTCTCAAACATATGTTGTATACATGTTTCATTCTTTTTTCGTTGAAAGTTTTAGAAAGTATTTCGATTTCTTAAAACATTAGCATGGCCGATAGTAATGTTCCTGATCTTGATGATCATGATGATGAGTTCCATACCGCTGATGCTGGTGCATCAGAAACGTAAGTCTCTATCACTAAAAAGAGAAAAAGAAAACATTAAAATCTATCTTATACATAGTTATCCTCAACAATGTTCAGCTTTACGTAAAAATGGCTTTGTTATGTTAAAAAATCGTCCATGTAAAATTATGGAAATGTCAACATCAAAAACAGGCAAACATGGACATGCTAAAGTAGACGAATCTCTTCTATGAAATAATTTTCTAAATTAAATCTTTTTGTATTTAGGTTCATATGGTTGGTATTGATATTTTTACAGGAAAGAAATACGAAGATATTTGTCCATCAACACACAATATGAGTGTTCCAAATGTTAAACGTGTTGAATATACGGTAAGAAAATTTTGAAAATAAATAAAAATAATAGTTCTTTTTCTTTGTTTTAAGTTAATTGATATTGAAAGCGATGGTTTCGTTTCAATGATGGATGATACTGCAGATACTCGTAATGACATCAAACTTCCTGAAGGTGAATTAGGTCAAGAAATTCGTTCTAAATTTGATAATGGTGATCAACTTAAAATTACATTACTTAAAGCATGCGGTGAAGAAGCCATCATAGCATGCAAACCTGAAAATGAATCCAAACGATAAACTATTAATTCACATCACCTCTTTTTTTTCTTTCATATTATCGTATCATCAACAATTTTATCAATCATATCTTTTTATGTGAAACTAAGTTCTTACATTATTATTAATTATAATGAAAGAAAGAAAAAAAAAATAAGAAGAAGAAATTTAATTATAATCGTCTTAACTTTATGGAATTATTTTATCTCACGTTTATCTCCTCTTTTGTTCATATCAAATTAGCTTCAGTCATTTAAGCTCAACAACAACAACAGCAACTCAAATATAATATTAAAGCCATTTGTTCTCTCTCTTTTTATAAATTTGTGATGTTTTTTTTTTATTCTTTACTTTATTATATTCAAAACGCATTTGCTAATGAGGTGATGGTTGATACATTTTTGTTTTTATTTTTTTTCTCAATGGAATTGAAAAGGAGAGAATCAAATAGTTATAAGTACGATAATGTACATAAAATTAAAGTAACACGTACAATTATCAGAGATTAAACTGAAAATGTTGATAATTATTATTTCTCAATATAGTAAAACAAAGCAGTAGAATTTATTTTATATAAAAATAAGTTTTTAGAAAAGTAGTACTTTATTCTTCATCTAATTCAAATATTCCACAATTGACAATTTTAATCGCTTTAATTGGACGTTGATTGAGTGTTTCCATACGTTCAAGTTTATCTAATGTATCAAAACCTTCAACAACACGACCAAGTGCAACAAAACGTTTTGACATCCATTGACAAGCATCAGATAATGTTATATAAAATTGACTACCATTTGAATGTCGATATCCTTTATTTGCCATACCTTGTAGACAGAAAAAACACATAAATAAATAAATTCAATATTAAACTACTACTAACCTAGAATACCACGTTGATTATGTTGAACAACAAAAGCTTCATCATGAAATGTTTCACCATAGATGGATTCTCCACCATTACCTCTTCCACCTCGGATGTCTCCACCTAACAAAAAAATGAATTATTATTTTTATTTTGTTTTGCTTAAATTTTTTACCTTGAATCCAACCATTTGGTACAATACGATGAATTATCGAATCTTTATAATGAAGAACTGTACCACTTGTTGTACTTTGACCTTTTTCACCTGTACATAATGCTCGAAAGTTTTCACATGTTTCAGGGACTTGGTCATTAAATAATTCAAATACTAAACGACCAACTTCTGTTGTTTCAGAAGTTTCACGATTTTCAAGATGAAAATCCATGAAACAAAATTTATTTTTACCATCACTCGAATCAAACCGTTGCCTATAAAATAATATATATGAATATTTAGAATTCCTTTTCAAATAAACATACTTATATTCTTCATTTGAAAATACTCCAAAGAGATCATTGGCACGAAAATCAGCATGATCAAATGTATTTTTTGCCCAATTTAAAAACGTTTCAGCATTTCCAAGTAATTTTTTATCAATAAAAACCATACAATTATCTTTATATGCCCATGTTTCATCACGTAATTCTGCACGTTTAGTTCGTAAAAATGAATTCCAATCATATTCAAGTAATGGACAAAGTTCCGAATGAGATATTTGTTTTGAATGTGCACGTTTAAGATCTTCTAAACAATGTTTAGCTGATTGATATTCATCAGAATTTATAAGACCGTATATAACTATATTAAACGATGGAAGTGCCATGTTACAAATGAATACTAATGTAAAAACATCACCTAGCAACAAGAAATCAATGCTGAAGAAACGAGAACAAATCAAGATTACGTGTTT